ACCTTGAATATCTGAGGACTGGAAGTGAGATCATTTTGTTTATTTATTTATACATCAAGAGCTGGGGCGCAGGCCAGAGGTATGTGGGGGTGGGGTGAGAAGTTTCACCAGAGACAGAGTGGGGAGCAGAACAGGCAGACTGACTGAAATACACTGCTGAGGGGAGCAGCGGGCAGGTCAGGAGAGGTCTGCCACGCCATATGGGTCAGCTCCAGGGCAAGGGATCAAACTCATGTTGCAGTGGCTGCAGAGAGCTTCACAGTGCTTCGGCTTAACCTGTTGTGCCACCAGGGAGGCCCCTGTGAGATGGATTTTAAATGGGCTTTAGGGATAAGTATTTGTGGGGAGAAAATGAGGTGGAAGACTCGTGGATTCACTTCAGCAAGAAGTGTTTTCTTTTATTCACTCTTTCTGGAAACGGGGCCCCGGTGCCCCGCACCTGGCCCAATGACTGCATAGGCCTGAAGAGGAAACAAAGTCCCAGGCTGAGTGCTTTGTCTGCCCCCTCAGCCAGTGTAGACTTGCTTCTCTCCACCGCGTATTCTCCTGGCTACAGCTTCATCTGATAGGGACAGACGCCTGGCTGGCTGACTCACTGCATTTTAAAAATTCTTTAGGCTTCTTGTAGTTGTTGGGTGTTGGGCTCCCTCGAGTGGTTTGACATTTTCCCTGGAACAGTTGCTCTGCGATCGGAGGATGATCTTCCCCTGTAGAGGGAAGGCCATTGCCTGCTGCTGGGGTTGGTCCTAGTAATAATCTGAGACATCAGCCTTGGAAAGAATATATTTCTAAGTTCACACAGCAGCAAGCAGATAAAGCGCCTTTAGGTCAAAAATGCAGTGTTGGTTTGACGCCATGCCTGAGGGAGAGTCAGTGGGTGGGTGGAGGAAAAGCAAGAGTCTGAGGCTACGCTTCTCATAGTCCAGTATGCATGAGGATCTCGGTAAAATACAGACTTGGGTTCAGTCGGTCCTGAGTGGGACTGAATTTCTCACTTGTCCCGGGTGGTGCTGGACTGCTGGTGCCTGGCTTCCCTTTGCATAGCAGAGGTCAGAGGGAGAGAGGGCCGGCAGGAGGGTGCAAACATGGCAGCCACTGCTCCTGAGTTTTCAGGACATGCTGGAGAAACACCGGCTTGAGCAACTTCCTCCCTGCCTGCCACACTGATTCCCTGGGTGCTGCTTGTTTGCTGGTTTTGCTACAGAGGGGTGCACAGCTGAAAACCTTCATGTCCCATTTGAACTTTGTATTTTAAAAGCTGTTAATACCACCGAAGCCTCATGGACACAAATCGTGTGTACAGTGCTTCAGGACAGCTAGCAGACAGCTGTGGCTTGTCTAATCAGTATAGAAAATATTTTGACTTCAGGTGAAGTTGACGTTTAACGGCCTGTGAGAATAATGTCAACATCCCCACTGTTTTGTCCTCGCTTCTCAGGTGTGGGAAGTGGCCGCACCATACATCGAAAAATACAGAATGGAGCATATTCCGGAATCAAGACCTGTCTCTCCAACCGCCTTCTCACTGGACTCTCTAAACAAGAAATCCACCAGGATCCCCGAGACTGGGGATCTTTAATGGGCTTGTCATTACTTAGTTTATTTAGTTTAAGTATTACTTAGTTTCACAGTAACCCTTTTGTGCTGAAGGAAAGACCCCCAAAACTTTCCTAGGTAGATCGACCCATTATGTTAATTTACTTGGGGCAGTATCACAGTTGTGAATCTCACACTGGGTTAGGTTGGCCTGGTGTGAGACACATCAGGAGTTTTCTTTTTCTTAATAGTATCAACAGGTCACTGGCTCTTAGGGTTGAGAAGAGTAACTGCTAAGCATGTGAGTCTTCTACACTCAGCATCAGAAGAACTCAACTCTGGAAACAGACTAATAGAATTCTTTGCATTCTGTCCCCCATATGTTAGACTTGTGTGACTCTTTTTTTTTTGCTTTGACAAAGCTCTCTGCTGGTTAACTTCAACTGATCATACTATGCTCTCTGGTGACTATCCATCATATGCCTGCATCAATAAACCTTGTCAAGTCATCATTTATCCTTCAATTGTTCTTTCGTCTATTGAGTCAAACTAGTTGATGGATCAACAAGAGCTTCTGTGTAAAGAGTTAAGGAAGGACTATAGAGCCTGCTGATAGGGAACCTTATTGAACTGTGCGTTTCGTGTTTATCAAATACCTGACACGTATCAGAAACAGGGATTCTCAGGCTTACCTCGGAGCCGGATGTTCGTGTTATCACGTCCTGTCTGTGTGCTAGTATTCTCCTCGCATTCCTGTCATCACCTGAGTCCAGAAGCTTTCTCTGTTCACAGATAAGGAGTCTGACGCTGAGCAGTGAAAGCCCTCTCTATAGGGTAATCATTAAAATGAGGCTCTGTTAACCAGGGTCAGAAGGGCCTCGAGAATGTTACCCAACCTGATACCACCCCCTCTGCCCCCAAAGATGATAAAGGACCTTGGGGGAAGGCTTAAGTGTATTTGTCTGGATGAAGGATGCCCCGAGGCCCCTCAGCTGCCAGAACTGAGATGTGTGACCCCGCAGCTGTGAGCGAAGGGGGAGGCCACTGGGGAGGACAGATACACGGCCAGCCTGCCCACCTGGGACAGCCTAAAGTGTGTCCAGGATAGATTTCACAACAGAGTTTTCACGCTGCAGGTCACAACCTGTGCACAGGAAAAGTGGTGACAGGAGTGGAAAGTGCTGTCTGCAGTGATTCAGTGAACAAAAAATGTGCTGAGGAATTGTTTACTGAAAGGCTGTTCCTGATACTATTCTTTGCCAAAAGGTAAACACTCGTGAACAAAGTTTACTCACTTCTTATCCACAAGCTGCCGGGGCCAGTGACCTCCAGGGTGAGGTTGCCCTTCAGACCAGGGCAGTGTGTGCTGGGTCCCCTGTGATCTCCTCTGTCACTGGGGTGCTTTGTCTTCTAGACAGCTCTGTCAGGAGATGACATCACACGCCTTTAAGACAATGTCCAGGTCATGATAGAGTAAACTAAGTCTTGTTTGTCTTAGCTTGTGTCTATAGTTTTAGAACCTTTTAAAACAAATTTAACCTCTCTTTAGCGAAAGGCTACTCTGACTGCAGTTGATTTTATTTCAGAAAGATTGTCGGTGATGCTGACACTTTCAAAGTATCTTTTTTTTTTATTTTTTATTTTTAAAGATTCATTTATTTGTGCATACAGAACTGGGGTACAGGCCAGAGACGCGGAGGGTGAGAGGATTCACCAGAGACAGAGCGGGGAGCAGAACAGGCAGATCGATGAAGTACACTGCTGAGGGGAGCAGCGGGCGGGTCAGGAGAGGTCTGCCACGCCATGTGGTCACCTCGGGGGCAGGCGGGAATCGAACTCATGCGGAAGCGGCTCCAGATTCTCAGTGCTGTGCTTTAACCCGCTGCGCCACCAGGGAGGGCCCTCTTTTTTTTTTTTTTTTTAAAAAAAAGATTTTATTTATTTATCCATATAGAATGGGGTTACAGGCCAGAGGTGCAGGGTGAGAGGAGTCACCAGAGACAGTGGGGCGCAGAACAGGCAGGTCAATGAACACTGCTGAGGGGAGCAGTGGGTGGGTCAGGAGAGGTCTGCCATGCCATGTGTGTCACTTCAGGGCAGGGAACTTGCACTGAAGAGGGCACCCCCAGCTTCTCAGTGCTGTGCTCCAACCTGCTGCGCCCTCAAAAGTATCTTTAGAGTGACTGACCTGCTGTGCTATTCCATGGGGTGGCAGCAGAAGGGTGAGGCTTCATTTGGGATGTCCTCCTGAGGGACTTGGCCTGCTGTATGGGGAGAGCCAGGGAAAGCAGAACTTTAGGAAGTTCCTGCTATGATGTACAATTTGCTAACATCCTGTTGACCAAGTCACACATCAAGTCCCAGTCAATTTGGGAAAGTAATACTCACGGCATGGACATGTGGCTTGGCAAGACTTGGGGACCATTCCTGAAATAATCTATCACATTCACAAAATCCCACACATACCCTAGAATCCAAAAGATATTTTTCATGACAGCTTTAAACGTGTTACTTAGTTGTCTCTCTGGTCCCTGGGTTATCTTTTTATGCAGCCTTCCTAATGTCATGAAAATGTGATCATTTTACATTCCAAGGGTTATTTTTGTAGGAGGTATTACTTTATTAAATATACACATTGAAGATACATCAAAAAACAAAACAAAGCAAGAGAGCTGGCAAATATTTGTTCCAGTTCATTCTGCAGGTGCAGGTAACTTGAAGGTAGTCCAATTCTCTTTGTTTATGTTTAGTTGATTAGGGTTGAGGTTGCCATTTGGAACAAAGAAGTTTTGTTTTTTTTAATGTATAATACAAGTTTATTTTTACATCATTTTGTGCATTTTTCCATCTCAGTTTCAATCCCATCGCCAAATCACCCATGTGCCATCACCATAGTCCAGTCATTTCCTTCCCCCCACTGTTTTTGATCCCATTCCCCACTCCACCCCAACAAAATGTCTCTGGTATATAGCTGTTCATCATTATTTTCTCACCTGTTGTGTTATATTCCTGCTATGAAAGAAACCATCCAGTATTTTTCCTTTTCTTTCTGGATTTTTAAAAAGATTTATTGATTTATGCATACAGAACTTGGATACAGGCCAGAGATGGCAGTGGCAGTAAGAGGATTCACCAGAGCAGGGAGCAGAACAGGCAGATCGACGAAGTACACTGCTGAGGGGAGCAGCGGGTGAGACAGGAGAGGTCTGCTGTGCCATGTGGGTCATCTCCGGAGCTGGGGATAGAACTCACACTGAAGCAGCTGAAGCTTGTTTGCAGTGCTGTACTTTAACCCGCTGAGCCACCAGGGAGGGCATGACTGGGTTTTAAAGTGACATGAAGATGAGGTTCGTGCAGTCATTTGCTGCTAACAGGCAGGCTCCGATGCAGCAGGTCTGGGATGGGGCCAAGATCCTGCATTCCTAGCAAGCCCTCCCCCCCCCCCCCCCCCAGTAGCAAAGGCACTAAGGCAGTTCTGCCCGGTCTCCTCTTCTGCTGTCATTTCCCCCAGTATCAAGAAAAAGGGTGTGCTTCACCTTAGCTTAGGCCATAGGTGCAAGGATCTCCTCTAGCTTGACTTGGGGGCCAGGACAGACCTAATACATTTTGTTGACCTTTATGTTTGTCAGAGTTCTCCCCATGGCCTAGGTGATTAATCATGAGAGAGAAATCACACACAGCAGCCACGTGTCTCCCACACTCCTTCTTGGCAAAGATTCCTTCACCAAACTTATCAGGGACAGAGCTTCAGCCTACGGTGCCCCAGACAAGGGATATCACGACAAGGGAGATCCCTGGGTTTAGACTGAATGCAGTTAAACCCTCTGGTTCAGGCTCTATGAACCTGGGATGGGTCGTCATTTGGATAGCTAACGCTTGCTTCTCAAGTCATTTCTTCATATTCAGACAGAGCTAATGCCGTTCTAACTATGAAGATGACTAACACATTTAAAAAGATTTCAAGTAAACTCAGATATCTAAATAATCACCCACTTTTTCTTTCTGGATAATTCTGTAATTTGTTCATTTCCTAAAATGCTCCAATAGACAACACTGCTGACCAAGTTTTTGAGCTGTAAGGAAACAATAATAGATAAACTATTTATGGGAGATATACAATTGTCTGTAACACATTTTTAAAGTGAAGAATCAAAAACAATCTCCAAAATTTGCATTATTGGATTTCACGAACATGGATGCATGTATAAAATGATGGATCTTGGGACTTTGCTGTGAAGCCCTGTGACAAGTGTAGTAAAGAAATTAGAAATGAAAGTTCACCCTTCCTCGGGGACCCTCTCCCAATATTCACTAAATAATGTTTTAAGAGCTAAAATTTGAAAAGCAGAAACAAATGGGACTTTCAAGTCACCTCTATCTAATTGCCAATCTGCTTTACCCCAAAATGCATTTTTCTCATGCTCCATCATATTAATCTCCAGTCTGTATCACATAGCTCTGAAAAACTTAGTATTTGAAGATTATCTTCATAATCAATCTACCTGTTTATGTGTTTAGGTGCAGATGTTAAAATTAAAATCACTGATTTCTTGGGTTTTTCAACTGGATTAACAAAACACTGAAATATATTTAAGTGACATCATTCTAGTCAACCAGTTAGGAACTTAAACTTTAAGATAACTGTTTTGGCTGATTTTACAGAGTCTTCTCTTTCCTTTCAGATGTATCATTTCTTATAGATGACTTTTCCTTTAGCTATGACATAATCAATTAATTCATGATGGCCTCCAAACTGGTAAATCAAGTGCTCCCATCTAGAAAGAAAGCAAACATTACTTCAGTGCAAATAAGTCAAAATGATCATGTTGTCACCAAATGCTAAAATTTTTAAATGTCGAAAAATTTAAAAACACATTCTCGGGCCCTTCCTGGTGGCGCAGCGGGTTAAAGCGCAGCACTGAGAAACTAAAGCCACTTCCGCATGAGTTCGATTCCCGCCTGCCCCGGAGGTGACCACATGGCGTGGCAGACCTCTCCTGACCCGCCCGCTGCTCCCCTCAGCAGTGTACTTCGTCGATCTGCCTGTTCTGCTCCCCACTCTGTCTCTGGTGAAGCCTCTCGCCTCCCCTGAGCTTCTGGCCTGTACCCCAGTGCTGTATCACAAATAAATAAATCTTTAAAAAAAAAAAAAAACACATTCTCTAAGAATGCCTTAGCATCGAGGTGTTAAAATTTATGCTTTTGAAAATATCACATAAGTAGTCTATGATAAATTGAGTATTATCTTAATGACATTATATAAGTATTTGATCTTAAAGTGTTTGTTCACCTAAGAAAAGCAAGAAAGTGGCAGGCCAACATTATTTTTAAAAGAGAGAAGTCAGGGAGGTGGTCAACCAGAACCAGGGTTGCAAGCCGGAGCTGGGAGCTCGGTGGCTCAGGGCAAGCAGAAGTGGAGGCCAGGAAGGAAAACAAAACACATGCCAGAGGGCACAGCAAGTCCAAGGTCCAGGTCAACAGAGCAGGAACCTGGAGATTTATGGACAATGTAAGAGGAACGAAGACACCAGGAAACCTAGTCTTTTCTGAAGATCAGGAACAGCAGAGTCCCAGGTAGGAAATGGTGTGACAGAGGGAATCGGGTAACTTCCAAGACCACACAGAGCCGACACTGATAGTTAGGGGAAAGGGGTTTGAAAAAAGTCTACTATTACAATGGGCATAACAGAGCTCAGCTGGGAGACCAGTTACCTGGGTGCATTAATGATAATGAGATCGCCCTGTTTGCCAACTTCCAAAGATCCATGTGTGTGAGATTTCCCCAGTGCATAAGCTGCATTGATGGTGGCAGCGGCCAAGGCCTCAGGCATGGACATCCTCATGTTTACACAAGCCAGATGCATGACCATGGGCTGGGACAGGCGGAGAAAAGCATAGGAGGAAATAACAAGACAGCAGCTGTTACCTAGGACATTTTCAACACAGCAAACCAATACAGGAGGTTAAATGTGTAACCGGAACTGGGATAGGAAAACTTATATTCACACATGAAGACTCTTAATGGTTTGCAAAAATTGCAAAAGATTCCTCTATTGAGAATCCTGCGTCTAATATTCATTTACAACTTTTCAAGGCCATTTATTATTAAGATGAAGTCCACGGCCACCCCCACTCACTAAAACTGCTTTGAGCTTGTGCTATTCCCTGAGAGGGGAAACAGATTATTGTAAAATCATGATACTCAAGGCTGAATTAGAAAACTATCTTTGCTGAGTCTGCCAGTGACCCAGAAATAGCCAATCATACTATGTCTACACCTTCTGGTCTTGTTTTATAAGAAAATTGCTTTAGATCTTTGATTCATTTTAACAGTTAATTTTTTTTTAAATGATTGATGTTTGGTAGAAGTTGAATACTCTGCTCAGAAACGCACGGAACATAATTACCATTGAAAAGCAATAGGCATTGGGGTTGAAATCACTGCCAAGTGCAACGATGACCCCTTCATCTAACATCTTCCTGGCTCGAGGCTGCTTCAGTCTAAGGGAGGGGGAAAAAAATGTCATTCTGTGGAACTGGAACTTTTGCAGCATAGATGTTCAAGATGGAAGTGGACTTAAGATAACTAAGCCCTTTGTATTCTGGAAGGCGAAACAAACTATCTCTGGCCATTCCACGTGTCCTTCATCAGTCATTCATTAAGGACATGGACAACCAAGCTTAGTCCTGAGGCTAGAAAGTCTTACAGAGGCTGAAGATCACAGAATAGGCCTATTCTTTTAATTACAATGTGTTTATCCCCTACCCCTGCTTCTGGCTGATTAACATTTTGCTTGAATGAATGTTGTAGGCACATATGACTAGACAAAGCGTAGAATAACTTTAGAGCTGTGCTTGCAATAGTTAAGTTCTAAGTGTCTTTTAAAGAAAGTCCACTGAATTTTAGCATTGAAGGCCTCCCCCAGTCAGCGTCCAATATTTGTGGGACCTCCATTCTCATCCCTACTCAATCAATATTGTACTCTAACCATTGGGTCTCCTAATTGGACATCTCTGAATTTGCCATTCCACTCACCCAGCTTGTCTGTCACTCACTGAAATGCCTTCACACTCCCACATCCAAGTGGCATCTCCCCTGCCCTGTCACTCAGACAGAAGTGGTGGCCCTAGTCACAACACCTACACCCACAGGTCTCACTGTCTGTCCACTCGCCACACCATATGCTTAGACTTCAGTCCCGTGCAGGGTCACATCTTTCTTATTTGCCATCATATCTCCAGTACCAGAGCCCAGGGCCTCACCTTCATAGCTGCTCAAAAGACCATTAGTGCAGGAAGTCTTTATTTTTTATTTTTCTTTAGTATTTTTGATATATTTTTTTTCAACATACCACACTTAGGATAAAAAAAAAACTCAAGGGGGTAGCATAACAACTAATCAACGCAGGAAGAATAATACTATTAGCAAATCACTATTTTGGAACTTTTTTATTAGTATTTTTAACATTTTAATCTATATTTTATTTATGTTTTTTTTTTTTTTCCTCTCTAGAATATGGGAACATCTAGTAGCTTCAATGAAAAAAGCATGGTATCATCCCTGTGGTGTTCAATAAAACCTACACAGGGCCCTCCATGGTGGCACAGCAGGTTAAAGCACAACACTAAGAGGCTGGA